GTCACATTTATCAAAAGCTTTTGCGAATCTGTAAATTACATCAGCGTTTTGTTTGTCTTCCATAGCATCTAATGCCATATCATAGTGGTCCAGCAACTGCGACAGGCAAGAGCGCCCTGTTCTGAAACCATGTTGTCCGGGGTTATGGAGATGCTGTGATTCCATGTATTTTGTGATCTTACTTCTTAGCACTCTCAAAATTTTTTTTATAATGTGCGATGTTAGTGCTATCGGTCTAATTTTTTGCCTCTGCCTTATTTCCTCCTTTATGAAGTGGTGCTATCTCTGCTGTTTTTAGTATATCAGGAATAACGCCAGTATCTAGGCTTTGTCTCCACAGAATGTGGAGGGCCTGCGATAATGGTGTTTTACAGTTCTTGATGAATATGGAGTTCCAAGAATCCGGGCCTGGTGCAGAGTGCATAGGCATACTGTTTATGGCTTCTTCAAAATCTAGTGGGGATAGGGTGACGTCTGATATATGATTTGATGTTGGTATCATATTCATAAAAAATTCATTTGGGTTATCAATCTTTAGTGCGTTTAATGGCTCACTGAAAACAGAGTCGTACTGCTTCCTCAGTAGCTCGCTCATTTCTTTGTTGTCATCGGTGAAAGTTCAATCTCCTTTTCGCAGGGGTCCGATACTAGATGTGGTTTTTTATCTTTATTTTGCATAGGAGAAAAAATATTTCGGATTTCTCTCTATTCCACTGATGGCCTGTTGCTCTCTTTGCCTCTCCTGGGTTTTGTACGATTCTTGTAGCTTGCGTTCAATTGTTTCTATTTCTCTACCTAACCTTCTTCGCCGTTCTTGAGATAGGGTGCGACTCTCAAGTTCCGCGATTCGTTTTCTTCGCCTGTATAGGGAACGACGTTCCCGTTCCAATCTGCATCTCTTCCTCTTTTTTTTCTTAGGGGTATGCGGTTTGAACATGTACATTATTTGATACCTTTCTCTTAAGAGGGTACATTGAGAGTTTTGAGATGGTCCCAATAATTTAGATGTTATCGTTTCTATGCGTGCCGTATGTTCTCTGTATTCCCTCTAATTTAGAGATCTCCGTTCTGAAAGGGAAAGCGAGTACGAAGCAAAACTGAAGACGGTACAGCACCAGTGAAAGGACTATTCCTTCTGGAAAATTTGTACACAGGAGAAAACGGATAAGCCCGAGAACTGAATCCTATGGGACTGCCAGTGTCATCTAGCTTGGAACACTGATCTCACCCTTTACAGTAATTTGCTCTTTGTTGTTTTCAGAATAGAGTATGATTTAATAAGTAATGTAATAAGCGTTTGAAGTGTAAACCCATGTGTTACGGCCACTGTGGGCCAGTAACCGGGTTCTTAATGTTATAACCTCTTACAGTATCCGACCCCAAAGTCTGTAGTATGCTTTCAAGAACGGTAGTAATGCAATGAATAAAGGAGGGAGGATAACCAATACACAATTCCCTTCACTACTATATATATTAAATTAAGCTTTATTTACAGTTTTGTAAAATGCCTCATGCAAGACACCAATACTTCAACAGTGTTCAACTCCAGTGCTTTCACAGTCCCAGTACCTTATCCACCTCTTACTGGACAACACAGGCGAGTTCACCCTTTACATGGGCCAGTCCACCCACACAGTATTACGATGCGCCTACACCCCACCTTCGCTCTCCAGGCACTCACTGGCAGAGGGCTTCAGCAACACGCTGACAGGGGTCTCAAGTAACCACATACAGGGGGAGCGAACACCCTGGCAGAAGCCTCTAGCAGCTTGCTAGCAGCACTTCACAGTAGGCACATCACTGTCTTCTGTAAGCCTTTTTAGCCAATCTTGGGATACGCCACTCCTCAACAATACTGCATATACTAACAGCTAACACACACTGCTTTGATATATGGCAGGTACTTAGTCTTCTTGCAGGACCAGGCTAAGGGTGCGTGGACTGCCCAAGGTAAACTACCTTCAACACAATCCACATGTCACTTCTGTGGACATAAAAACCATCATTAATTAGATGGACAGGACACTGAGGAAACCATAGGGTAACACTAGTTCACTGAGGAGATGACATTATGCTCGTAGCATAACCTAGATGGTGCTGATCGTGACATACCCACCTGAGGTCATCCACATGACCTCTCCTTCTAACTAGGGCAGGAAACTGGAACCATTCATCGCTGCCACGCCACCACCAACAGATGGAGTTGTCCACATAGCGTCCAATACCAGGAGGGTGGGAGTGCAGACCCATAGATGGCGCTGAAATTGCCACTCTACACACTGACGATGGTGTCTATACCGTAACACCCTAGTAGAGTGAACATAGTGTAAACCCTGGTATACTAAACATAGTATAAACCCTGGTATAGTGAACATAGTATAAACCCCTGGTATACTAAACAGTATAAAACCCTGGTATACTAAACATAATATAAACCCGTGGTATACGAAACATAGTATAAAACCCTGGTATAGAGCAAACAGTTGTGTTGACCTAGATATTGCAGTGGGTTGCTTGAGCAAGGCGGAGATCAACAACAGCTTCACCTGCACCGGAACACGACCGTCCACCCCTAACGTGGCCATAACCCCCCCAAATATTGATCAATATGTGATCATGTGGTGATCACCATATCTATGGCTCTGCTCCAAGCGCACTTTTAACGCTCTATAGGCTGGCTTGCCTCTTGTGTCTTCCCGCCTCTTGTATCATTAGCTGTTTTGTATTGAATTTATTGACCTAAGTTATGGTAAGTTAATATACATGTATGTTAAAAAAATAGTTGTTTGGATAAAAAACTATTTTTTGTTTTACGTGAGAAAATATTAATTATTAAATGAAATTGAACTGTTGTCCCCAAGTTACATGTCTTTGTGAGTTGTGTTTAATCTTACGTACAGTATTTGTATCGGTCACAATGTCCTCAGTGGAATTTATTAATATAATTTGTTTTCTTCTGTTTAAGTACCCACGGGCTCACCATAGCCAGTGCTACTTAGAACTGCTTATTCCAAGTAGCGAATCTTTAACAACTGTATAATTTGTTACATTGTCTTCCAGGCCTAGTCTATTTTAATGGATAATTACATAGATGCTGTGTAATAATAATTTTGCTAATACGAATTATAAGTTTCGAGGATAAAAAAAACTGTTTTGAGTATGTTAATTTGCTTTACTGTTTGTATTTACGTCAATTATCTGTTGCTGGAAATGTACATTGCTTCTGGAACTTGGAAGGTATGTGTATGAAGTCACCTTCCAGAGGCTGGAAGATATCACGTGTTTGACGTCATGTCAGGAGGCTGGAAGATATCACATGTGTGACGTCATGACAGGAGGCTGGAAGATATCACATGTGTGACGTCATGACTGGAGGCTGGAAGATATCACGTGTGACGTCATGTCAGGAGGCTGGAAGATATCACATGTGTGACGTCATGACAGGAGGCTGGAAGATATCTCTATAAACGGAATTGTTTGTCTGTCCGAGGTCAGTGGCCCGGGGCTTGGAGTTGGCGTCACCCAATTTTTCCCGGTAATTGCTGTTGGGTACGTGCTCAACATGGACGGGTCGGGATTTGCATAAAAGAAAAAATGTAGTGCCATGTGACACTGTGCCAGTGACCCCCCCCACGAAAGCTTTTGCTATATCATTATGACTTTTATTATTATTATTACTACTATTTTGCAATATGATAAAACCGGCGGTACTCCTTCACGTTTAAGATACATAATAGAGCGAGATTTAAGCTTATATAAATTTAATGGCGGCTGTCGAGGTATTTGACCCTGAGGTGTTCATTTACAAGTGTTGTGTTCATTCTACCTGACGAGAGCATTTGCACATACAGGGTGGTCATCTCCCAATATGAATATATAAAAAAATACTTCGCACTCTTGAGAACTTCATACACGCGGACACGTAACGTTGTGAAACAATACATTATTTCTTGGTTAACACAATAGTACTATTGCATCAGCCGCCTTGCCTGGCGTGAGCCTTCATGACAATACACATAGCCTCACTCTATGGCCATTGTTCTTGTGTTTTATTTTAGCCAAAACTTGATACTAAGCGATTTATATTAACGAAAACTAAAATATGTAATTGAACTAAATGTATATAATTAACATTGGTCACGTTCGTCCATGTTATGGAACTAATTCTTTAGTATACATAGATTAGTTCATTTGTTTTGTGCACCTTCAGAAACGGTTAATTCAAATTGGCACTATAATGTGATATATAGACGCCTCAGCTGTTCTTATATTGGTATGGAAACGCTTATAATCACTATAATGATAACTAAATGTTAATTGGAATTTAAATATTATTGAAATTATAACTATATAACAATATACGCGAGATCCAGCTCGAACTGATATATATATATATATATATATATATATATATATATATATATATATATATATATATATATATATATATATATATATATATATATATATATTTATTAATTTTTAATTAATAAATAATTTTATTAATTATTTATTAATATTATTTATTTAGATAATAATTTAATATTATTTATTTAGAAGGGGTACCACCTCTGGTGCAAGTGTAGGGACCCATTATTTATTTATATATTTATTTATTTATTGACAGAGAATTATGAATAACGAGTTATATTTTTGACAAGATTTAGTGTATATTTACCTATCAATTTATAAAGTTTATTTATTTTTTAAATTGCAGATGATGTAAACATCAATAATGAAGAACAGGTGAAGCAGCTATTTCTATACCTGATGAAATCTTACTGCTCAGGTGCCAATTGCTTTAGATAATTATTACTAAAACCAAGTCTCCTTTATATTATCAGTTGGCTGCAATATTTATACCAAAAATATATATATTTGTGTTTAATCAAATGATTTGTATGCATTTATTCAAATATTTTCTTTATGATTAAATATCAGCAAGGAAGTTATGTGGCACCATGCGCGCTTGTGGGAGGTATATAGGAGTGAGCATCGAAGAGCGTGACTGGCGCTTCCAATATTTACTATTAGTGTTTTATCATGTTCAGTAGTGACAATGGCGTGACTGGCATTATAACCACACTCTCCGTAACACGTCACCATTTCGAATACAAGAATGTCTTGAGATAAGATGTCCAAGCTATAGAAGTTTATATAAGACTTTCGTCACCATTGCCCACCCCCCACCCTCCTACCAGCAGGTAAGACAAGCTAATGTTACTTTATATCGGTGATATGTAGGCTTCATTTATAGGATTTATAATAGTTATAGTGTTTTAATACTTTTAATGTTGAGATTTAGCCACCGTAATTGTTTAATGATTATGTGTTTTATTTTTATATCTATATATCCCCCTTCCTCCTTCAACTCACTCACCCCTACCTCCTTCCCCTCATTCACCCCTTCTTCTCTCCCCTTACTCACCCCTTCCTCTCTCCCCTCACTCACCCCTTCCTCTCTCCCCTCACTCAACCCTCCACGCCCAATTCTCACCAGTTTCGAAGCCTCATCATATTTAGTCCTTACGAATGCTTGAACAGCTGTTTAGCTGATCTGTGTCCACACACCGCACTCCATTCTCGAGTCACAATCGGGGGATCCCAGGTTCGATTCCCGGGCGGGACACAAATAGTTGGACATGTTTCCTGTTCTGGGGTTGCTTCCAGGGGAGTCGCTCTACCTGGCAACCTCGATACAAGCCTAGTGTATGTATATATATATATATATATATATATATATATATATATATATATATATATATATATATATATATATATATATATATATATATATATATATATATATATATATATATATATATATATACACACACACATAAGACCTGCGTTCACCCTTGATTGCGTGCACCCTTGACTGCTTATTTAAGCCTTTAGGCCCGTCAGATTAAGTTTATGGTTAGGTTGTTGAATTTTGTATGTGCTCTTTAGAATTAAAAGAGTACAGAATGTTAATTTTGATTTAGGTATACAATCGCCCAACCACTTGGGCTGGGCGGTAGAGCGACGGTCTCGCTTCATGCAGGTCGGCGTTCATTCCCAGACCGTCCAAGTGGTTGGGCACCATTCCTTTCCCTCGTCCCATCTCAAATCCTTATCCTGACCCCTTCCTAGTGCTATATAGTCGTAATGGCTTGACGCTTTCTCTTGATATTTCCTTTCCCTTTAGATATACAACAGTTCAAGTTGTGTACATTCCATCCACAGGTGTTGTAATTGTTGGAAGATGGCATATGATATTGGGGGGGGGGGGTTTCTACCGTGGTGCTGACTGCGTGTGTTAGGGCTAGAATCTAGACGTGACAGATGCACTCAGCAGTTTTAGTTTAGTTCACTTATTATGCACCCCATACCCATCTTGTGGGGGGGGGGGAGGGGGTAGTTATAGTTATGCTTGCGGGGGTTGAGCTCTGCTCTTTCGGCCCGCCTCTCGGCTGTCAATCAACTGTTACTACTATTTTGTTAACACCAGGGGGTAGTGGAAAGGGTTACAGAGGCACATAATGGGCTCAGGGACTGAACCACATAATTCATTTAGCTGAGCAAGTTATAGTCATGATGACTGACATATTAACAAATACAGAGACATACAGACAGACAGAAAGACTGATAGAGACAAACAGACGAACAGAGGTAGAGACAGGGAGACACAGAGAAAGACGAGTTGAAGAGAGAGAAACAAGAAGGGGAATATTTGAAAAGACCGGAAGGAGAGAGAGGAAGACAGGTGGAGAGGAAGGATTGGTGCCCAGTCAGTCCTACCCCGGCCAGGATACGAACTTTATGTGATGTTAATTTTGATTTAGGTATACGATTATCTAATAGTATCCACGACTGCTGTCGCACCAACGATGCTTTGATTCTTACCCTTGACTTGATACATGCAGCTTTTGACGAAAATGAGCTCCTCAATATAGGCTTATTTGTTGACCTGAGTTAGGCTTTTGAAATACTTCTCTTCTCTCCTCCACTCCTCTCATTTACATCAATGACCTCCAAAATGTTAGCATACTTCTCGTTTGTTATTAAGTATTAACCACATTGAACCCATAAATGATTTAACAATTATTTTGTCTGAAAAGCTTTGGGCATTAGTAGATTTGTTTGTACTGTATACAATTTCTGCTGAGGTCTGAGTGTGCCCTTCGGTAATTCTTTTCTTGTGCTACGGCTCACAGGATGAATATGGGGGGCACAGTAAATTACTCACCTCCGGTGGCAACAATTAATGAAGCATTAGGATAGGCTACATCTGGCAGGACACTGAGTCTAACACGGTGGGTGTGTCATACTAAGGTGTCATACGAGTGACACAGATCAGCACGTGTCAAGTGTCATGGAGTACATGTACTCATGTGGCACTTGCTACACAATGGATGATGTATTTTCAGGATGAGTGAACTGTCCAATAGATTCGGTCTTTGGGGCAAATTTAAAAAATGTATGGAGTACGCGTGATGCAGAAGTCGTGGGGGTACGTGTGGTAGACCTCGGGGTACGAGCATCGTACGGTAATGGGTGACACAGATCATGCTATTAACAGTGTCGTAGTATCAACCTGTCCTCTTAATCCACACGGTAATGGATTCAGAGCGACTACGTAAGTAGTGCTGAGCATGGATTTACTCTCAATCCATTGTTAGATAGGTTTGTTTAGGTTAGGTTTCATTACGTTTGGTTATGTTAATATGGTGTAATATTGACCCTAATGTGAAATATGAAATTCGAAAACTATTTAATTGTACGCTTGAATTTTGTTTACTGAAAAACAAATTTTTTCAGACCGTTTCAGAGAAAACTTTTTAGCATATATTTTTATAGCTTAAACCAACAGTTTATGATACAATAAAGTTATAACTTGAGAATAATCTTTGTTTTGGACAAAGAATCACTTGCCAGTTTGCAAGAAGACTATTACTGGAATCGTAATATGCTTTCAGACCATTACAAATATCTAGATAACTATCCAAGTGGTTTGATAGGGAAGTTTGTAGCTCGAGGTAATGAATTTGCTCTGAGGACGGGCTCTCTACTATAGATGGCTACGTTCTCCACTCACAATCGGGGATCCTGGGTGGAGACAGAAATGGTTGAGCATAGTTCCTTTCACCTAGCAGTAAATAGGTACCCGGGAGTTAGGCAACTGTTGCGGGGTTGCATCCTGTGAAGGGTCAGTAGTTCGACCTTGGTGAGACCTCGAGAAAGCTTTGGCGGCTCGCTATCAGAACATGATGCTGACAGTGGTGTTGTTGCCTGCGGGTAGATGGGGGCTGCAGCTGGCAACACACACACAACTTGGGAACAAACCCAGCGTCAGGAATGTCTTTCACTGCATCCAAATTCTTTGGGAGGCTGGGGAGGTAACACTAATCTTCCTTCGTAACTATCGATATCTTATACACCATTATATATGTAAATTTTGCCGTTAAGAAAAGACCATAAATAATCTATTCTGAATCAGAATAGACATCAACATATAGTAGAAGGCTGGTAGTAAATATTAATTGCTGCTGGCTAAGATGAAAGGCAAGGTGGGCTGGATGAGAATTTGGCGAGGTGATGCTGTCTATTTACATCATGCGAGCGTGCGCGCCAAGTTGACGCTCACACAGTTGTTCTCTCTCCACGGCGACCTGTTGAGCCTCCTCAACACTTGTACCACTCCCTCCACACCTTCAAGTCTTACTGTTCTCTGTGAGGATTCAACCTGTACATTGTAGTTGGGAGCGCTAATGTCCCACTGCAGTGTGTGTGTCTCAAGTTGCTACTTAATGCCTGCAACTTGATCCCGAATCTTACGTGTGTTTTGTATTTTTATGGCAGATGTAATTACCAGCGTTGGTGACAATTAGATATCACTTGCACCGGTGTTGTCAAGTGGTTTAACAGGCATCTCGATCATGTGTTAGTGTGGTTCATTTATTATACACCTCATTTACTATACCACCCTTGTACGGGGTGCCAGTAAATCAAATTTGAGGCACATAATGGGCTCAGGAACTGAACACCAAAACGCATATGGTTAAGCAAGTTAATTACAGCCTTGATAATCTAGTTATACGTGTTTAATCACATATACCGTATATAAAAAAATGTTACACATAATTTGATTTGCTTATCATGCCATCCCAAACCTGTCCAGAAGGTTAGTAAGTAAAGTTTAACTAAGAATTATTTTGGATATTTCACTAAGATTTCTGGTAGTATGTCATTTTGAATAAAGTACTTAAAACACATTTCTTGAACAGTTGTGATTAAAATTCTCCCTAAATTTTATGATTTGTTCATATTAAATGACATAGTGACGAAAGGTATGTGAATGGTTACTATTAATTAGCGTTTTCTGTAACTTTAATCGTATCTAGTAAGATTGGTGAGAAATGGAGTCTTAAGTCGTAAACTGTCATATGTGTTTGTCGTTTATAAAACGTTGTGATGCTGTGTTTAATTTTTTTTTAATTAAAACAACTCAGTGTTTAAAAATCTCTGTTCTCGTAGCGTAAAAGTTCACGTCATATTGTTATCAAGTTCACGTCAAATTGTTATCATTCAGAACGTTTAAGCTGAATGATAACCTTTCAGCTTAAACGAAATATACATGCTTATCATTCAGTGCAAGAAAAGTATAACAGCCAGTTTTTTTTTTTTACAGGGATATTCCTGCGCGGGCCCTAAGCCTCTGGCTGGCCCACTAAGTGTTGCTTGTTTCTGTTTTACTTGGGCGGAGTATGAGTATTAATGACTCGTATGGTCGCTTCAGTAAGATATTGTCCCATGTGTTTAACAACTTCTGCTCTGTTGAATCTTAGTTGAAATTTTAATGGGTTTGTAACTGTGCACTGTGTTAGATAAAAAATAATGTTCCAGTGGTCTGTTGTGCATTTCTCCACAGTGTTGACATTTCCTCTCATCTTCCGAAACCTGTAAGCCTATTTCCCATGCACATGTGTATCCAAGCCTGATGCAATGTAAGTGTACT